ATTGATTAATCTCACGATGATGTGAAAACTGCAGTTGACGTCACAAGGGCCGGCACACGATGAGGTGGATTTCGAGTTCTTGGGGAATTCTTCCGGGCAGCCATACACCGTGCACACGAATGTTTACACGCAAGGCGCAGGCAATAGAGAGCAGCAATTCCGGCTCTGGTTCGACCCGACTGCAGCTTTCCACAAATACACTATTCTTTGGAACCCACAACGTATAATGTAAGCCATACATCGATCTATCTAATTTCTACCTCATGAGGCTGAATGTTGATTGTTTTGTTTAGATATGCAAAATAATTAATGTGAATTTCCTTAAATGATTTAGTCAAAAGTTCATAATTAAATCTCACTTTATGTTTTTTGCAAAATCATCAAGTTTTTACCTTTCCTGGCACGCGCCTGATATAGTCAATAATCCCGATTGATCAAACTACTATTCCTTATCTAGCTTCGGATAAAATCAAATGGTCAAAGTCTTAATTGATTCACACACGATTGACTTTGTTCTCAAGCGAGTCGAGTTACATGACTTTATTGTGAGTGATTCAAAAATTCATCACTCATAACATATGGACCGCTATCCTTTTGTTTTTCAAATATGAATTATACATAAAAAAAATTATAATAAACTTAAACATTTATTTTATTCGTGGGCTCATGCAGCTACATGGTGGACAACATCCCGATTAGGGTGTTCAACAACTACGCGAATTACAGTGTTCCGTACCCAAGCAGCCAGCCCATGAAGATGCAGTGCAGCCTTTGGAACGCGGACGATTGGGCCACGCAGGGCGGGCGGGTGAAGACGGATTGGGCCCAAGGCCCATTTACGGCCACCTACCGTAATATCAACATAAATGGCTGTGTAGTGAGCGGGTCCTGGAACTCCTGCAATAATGGGTCCGTGAGTAGTAGTAATCAGACTTGGCAAACGCAGGGCTTGGACGCCAAAGGGAGGAAACTAATCCGGTGGGTCCAGGATAATTTTATGATCTACAATTACTGTAGTGACGCCAAAAGGTTCCCCAAAGGCCGTCCCAAGGAGTGCCGGCTCCCCAGGTTCTAAGGCGTTTTTGGATCGTGATTGAGCTGCTATGTTATTATTTCTTTCTTGATTTATTACATCATTTGTTAATTTTATTTTTTTATGATTTTGGTTATGTTCGTGGCTATTGGATGCACACTTCGAACTTGATTGGGATTATTCTTGATTGTGGAGAGGATCGGAAGTGTCGAATAATTAAATTATTGCTCGAAGCAAACTGTGAGAAGAAAACAATATATATACGAGGCTTTGTTCCTTTTTACTTGGTCTTTTGTAGCTTTTGGTTAAATACTTTTCTTTTAATTAATTATTTATTTTGTTTGTACATTTGTTAGAACGAATCTAACTATTAGACCTGTTGTCCAATACATATACATACTTTCAACTGTTAGATCGAATCTAACAAGCTCAGCTTTATGCTATGTTCTTGTTTTTAACTGTCGAACACATTAGGTCGGCCTTATGCTATCTTCTCTTTAGTTGATGAGCTAACCTGTTAGCTCGGCCTTAGGATATCTTTTTATTAGCTGTCGAGTTCGAGGCCTCGTTAGGTTCTTCACATAAATCACCAGGACTTGAAACACCAATTGGATCCTACTGACCTTTCCGCGTAAATCAACAGGACTCATCAAGTCCTCCTGACCTCTCCCCATAAAAATATCGGGGCTTGATATTAAATTGGGGCAAATTATTAGGTGAACCTATCCATATACCTTAGGATTCCACTTCCATTTGGCCACCGTGATATGTTACCCTAGGACCATCAGTCATTAATGAAATGCAGGAAATATGTGTACACCATCGGTGAATTATCGACGGAGTTACTATTTACCTTTAGTATATTTTCACATATCAAAGTTTTCTGAAGCAACATGCCAAAGTGTGTGAAAATGACTTCTGAATCAAAAGGTTTATTGCGAAAATATCATTCTCGTGACATCTTTACAATGAATTAAACAATAAAAGAATGGCAAGGAAAAATAAGAATACATCAACTCTGTAATCACAAAACCATAACGAATACTCATCACTGAATATTGAAGAACTAAGATCTCCATGGCGTGGCTTATAACTTAGAACCTCGAGCGCTTGCACTCGATAGAAGTTCCTTGAGGAAACCTCTGATAATCGGCACAATAGTTGTAGACCATGTGCCTCTGCTGAACCCATCTCAATCTCTTTCTTCCATTAACATCAAGCTCCTGAGCCTGAAATTGTGGGCCGCCTTGGATCTTGAAATTTCTGTAATAGGCCACAAAAGGAGCCTTTGTCCAGTCAGTCTTGACCCGGCCGCCTTGAGTAGCCCACTCGTCTGCATTCCACAAACTGCAGTACACTCTCATCGCCTTGCTGTTGGGGAAAGGTACCCCACTCCGTTCGTGGTTGTTGAAAACTCTAATCGGACTGTTGTCCACCAAGAATCTGAATATTTTGCAATATAAATACATTTTTGGTTAGCTAGAAACTACTAGAAAGTTCATCTAAAGAAATTGACCACAACTCACTATTAATTACATACATTATGCGCTGAGCACTCCAGACGATGGAGTATGTGTGAAATGCAGCAGTAGGGTCGAACCAAAGGTGAAACTGTTGTTCCTTGTCTCCTTTGCCCTTTGAGTACACGTTCGTGTGCACCGTATAAGGCTCACCGCTCGAATTGCCCAGAAACTCAAAGTCTATCTCGTCATGTCCTTCGCCTTGAGACGACAACTGCACAGCAAAGGAAAAAAGAATGAGATGCTATGAATAAAGAATAATGGTATTAAATAAGTAATTAAAATAATTGGTGAAGACTTACGAAGAATGTGGTGACAGTGCCAGCAGAGTTACCAGGTACGAGTTTGAGCTGCATATCAAATCTTCCGAACAAATACTCCTTCTTTGATTGAAATCCGGAACCCGAGTTTTGGTCGAGCGACAGAGATAGTCCACGCCCGCCTTCGAGTATCTTGGCACGGCCATCACCCCATGTTATTTCCGCATCTCGGTAGAAATTACCTTCGGAGAGGCTCGCAAAACAGATCAAAGTTACCAAAAAAGACAGCACGGTAAATTTCGCAGGAGCCATTCGATTTTTATTTGAGAGAGAGAGAGGGAGAGATGAGAAGAGAGAGAAGTTTGATGTTGTATTTTGGGATGATCCTGGCTTGATCGCTTGGATATTATGCTTATATAAGTGTCAATGTGTGTGTGGGTGTTTTTCGGAGAAGGTGCTGATGTCCAAAATCAGGGGATTTTAAGCACTGCTTGTGACTGTGAGCTGTCACAAGTGGCTACAAACGGAAATAATTGTGTCTGTGGGCGTAAGGTTTTATTATGGGTACAGGCCCATTATTCAGTTCAGTTTCTTTGAGGCCAGTTGTATATAGCTGCATAAAGGGGTTGACAACCCAATATTAGTGGACAAATAATAAAGAGGAATTTGCACCATTTATCAACAGTTATGATTTTTATTACATTTATATGTCTCTTATATTTTTATTTATAAAATTACCTAACCAAACAAAAAATGATATTGGGATGGAACCGTTATTACCTTATTTTCAGGCATATTAAATGCAATCCCTCCCTAAATAAAAGGCATTCACTCGTTTTCACTCCATTATTACTCTCATTGAAGAGAAAAAAAATAGGAAAGAAAAAGAAATCTCATTATTCAATTGTAACGAACTAAGAAAAGGGCAGAGTTCTTCTTCAATTGCATCAAATTCGTGTCCCTTACACTGTGCAGTGAAATCGACACTTCCCTGCCCGCTGACCCCATTTCCCCCCCTCCCCCCCCTCCCTTTTTTCCAGTATTGCCCAATTTCTTCACACAGTAATATATCCGGCGGAGTCGGCGAGATCATAATCTTCGAGGTGAAAGTCAAGGTTGATCCAATGAGGAAGAGCTTGAGTATGAACAATATGTCCGAATACGAGCCTGCTTGCAAGAACGGCGGCAGTGGAGATGCACCAAGGGCTGCGGCGGTGGATGGCAGCGGCACGGGCTACGCAGCCGCAGACGACACCGTGCCCTGCCAGAACCGTGAGCGCAAGCGAGGAAAGATCGATTTTTTTATCGTTTTTTCTTCTTCAATTTGATTGTGTGTGTGTGTGTGCTCTTGTTAAATTGAATTGTTTTTTTTTTCCTGGGTTCAGTGGGTGTTTGAGAAATTTTCAATTCTTTTGGCTTTTGTGATTTTTTGTTTATATTTTCAGGTTCTAACTCGACGACGAACATGTGGTTGAAGACATTGCCGACGGTGGTGTTGAAGAGACCGAGGTATTCTGGGCTGGGCGGAGGTCGCAAGACGGAGAGATATACTGAAAATATACTTAATATATTTGTTATTGTACATCTAGTTTATGTCTGAAAATATACTGAATATATTAGTTATTGTACATCTAGTTTATGTTTGGTATATTAGTTTATGTACAAATTAGTTTGTGAATGGATGTTTTTTTTTTTTTCCTTTTCACGGTTTATTCATAATTTATGTTTGGTATATTATATGATTTTTTTTGTTGAAAAACGAAATTGGCAAATGAGCAATTTGTTGTTTTGGTATATTAGAAGATTGTTGTAACATTTACTGAATATAAGTAACATTTACTCACAAAGCATAAATTGCTTTTTTTTTTTATTTGGTATATGTATGGTTTATATTCAATATATTTTCGGTATATGATAAAAAAATTTATCGCGAGACGTAATCTTTATGTATAAAATCAATTTGTATTCAGCATAAACTGATTTTTGTTGTTGTTTGTTGAGTATATCTATGGTTTATATTAAGTTACCTGTTATAATATGTTTATAAATTATATATATACTTTTATGTATAAAAGTTAAAAAAAAAAACAATAAGACATAATTTTTTTATGGAATACATGCAACATATACAGAGTATATATCAACATAAACTCAACATATACCCAACTGGACAGCTGCGTGAATTACAAAACACGTTTTTATTTCTCTGAATATATATCAACATAAACCCAACATATACCCGCTGTCGCGATTATGAATTATTGTCGCTGTGACTCCGATCGATCCCCTAGTCGCGATTATGAATACTCAAAAATATGTGGTTTTGAATATACGATAAAATTACATAAATATACGTCGATTTCTATCGCTCGTGAAGTCACGATTTTCTGTAGTATATATACGATAAAATTACATAAATATACCTTGATTTCTATCGTCCGTAAAGTCGCAATTTTCTATAGTATATGTTCGGTGAATTATTGACGATCGATCGATCACGTAGCCATTTTTTTTTAAAAATTTTGATCTGATATGAATTTGAAATGAAGATTCTGTTTTTTTTTTTTTAATTTTTTTGGTAGTTCACGGCGGAAATCACGCCATTATCAGTTGGATGGAGGACGTTACAAAGTAACTGATATTTAGGCAATCTCATAAATAAAATATCTTGATCAGGTAAATCTCTATTACGTGTTCAATGAAGGTAAACTTGTTCAATAACAAATTCATAATTTTCGTGTCATATATTGGTGCTTCTTTGATGCTTCCTGCTAATAATTGGATGAAAATGTCATTTTGCAACATCTGTGAGACAATAATAATAATAATAATAATAATAATAATAATAATAATAATAATAATAATAATATAATTGGATGGTCCATGGGTGTTACAGAGTGTAAAATTTGCAGTTTTTTGCTGGTTCTTTTTAAGTTAGACTTTGCACAATCTATTATTGCGACGGGTTATAAAAAAATTGTTTTTGTCTATTTAATAAAAATTTATCTTATTAAACTTCAATATAAAATATAAACTTTTACAAAATGTACTGTTCATTTTATCTCACTTTTTCTGCACCATTCCATTAAACAAAATTAAATAGAAAAAAACAGACCACTTTTATATTTTTTCTAACAAAAAAGATATTTATCTACTTACGTGTTTCTAAGCATTAATCTTACCAAGATCCCGCCTACCGCATTCTCCCGTCAATTACTATTTACTATATACAGTCAACGCCAACAAACATAAAATATTATGCCCAGTAATCTAAGATGGTCTTAACATCAATTTAACTTTTTCACTACAGCCTGTCGCCAAAGGAAATTTGAATCATGCCTGACCCAGTAGCTCACGCGTTTAATTATTTTAAATTTTAATCATGAAGTCTTTTGGCCAGCTAACTCACATATGATTCATGAAGCTTCTCTGCATGGAGCCGTGGACACACAGCCTATATAATAGAAACTCCCAAGCCCACATAATCACAAATTCACAACCAAACACAATACCAAAACTGGAAAACATACAAATGGCTTCAGCCTTCTTTACTAAATTAGCTATGATCTCGATTTTCATGGTCTTGGCTTGTTTAACCGTGCCATCCTCCGGAAACTTCTACAGAGACGTCGACATATCATGGGGTGATGGCCGTGGCAAGATACTCGAAGGCGGACGTGGACTATCTCTGTCGCTCGACCAAAACTCGGGTTCCGGATTTCAATCTAAGAAGGAGTATTTGTTCGGAAGATTTGACATGCAGCTCAAACTCATCCCGGGGAACTCCGCTGGCACTGTCACCACATTCTTCGTAAGTCTTCACCGATTATTTTTATTGCTTATTTATTACCATTATTCTTTATTCATAGCATTATTTTTTCCTTTGTTGTGCAGTTGTCGTCTCAAGGCGAAGGACATGACGAGATAGACTTTGAGTTTCTGGGAAACTCGAGCGGTGAGCCTTATACGGTGCACACGAACGTGTACTCAAAGGGCAAAGGAGACAAGGAACAACAGTTTCGCCTTTGGTTCGACCCTACTGCCGCATTTCACACATACTCCATCGTCTGGAGTGCTCAGCGCATAATGTAAGTAAATTATAATGAGGTGTGGTCAATTTCTTTAGATGAACTTTCTAGTAGTTTCTAGCTAACCATAATGTATTTATATTGCAAAATAATCAGATTCCTGGTGGACAACAGTCCCATCAGAGTTTTCAACAACCACGAATGGAGTGGGGTACCTTTCCCCAACAGCAAGGCGATGAGAGTGTACTGCAGTTTGTGGAATGCAGACGAGTGGGCTACTCAAGGTGGCCGGGTCAAGACAGACTGGACAAAGGCTCCTTTTGTGGCCTATTATAGAAATTTCAAGATTGAAAGCGGTCCACAATTTCAGGCTCAGGAGCTTGATGTTAATGGGAGAAAGAGATTGAGATGGGTTCAGCAGAGGCACATGGTCTACAACTATTGTGCCGATTATCAGAGGTTTCCTCAAGGAACTTCTGTCGAGTGCAAGCGCTCGAGGTTCTAAACCTCTGCACGGATTCTTTTATTCTTTGCAAATTCATTATTTTGTGTTTGTAATTCATTTGTTTGCGCTTGTTTCACCATTATTATTCATTCATTACTGATTTATTTGATGTAAAGACAGAAGAATAATATTATCAGAATAAATGATGGAACCATGTCCCTTTTTATTCGAAAAAATGTGACCAAATTCGTTCAAGATGCTAAGTTTATTGCTCTGGAAATTCAAATATATATGCTGAATACAAGAATGTCTTGAAGCACCACATATACAGTATCCAATAACTCCAAACATGTTATGACCACTTGGAGGCCTGGCTGACAATAATTAACAAAAGCTTACCTTATTGACAATGTCGAAATTCATATACATCCGTAAGAAAGTGAAACTGTAAATTTTGATGTGTCGATGCAAACACACTTTACCAGCAATATAAACTTTCCCCATACTAATATTTGCAAAAGCAACTAAAACCAATGACCTTATAGTGAATGTACGGTGAAATTTACAAGTGAAAGAGGTCGATAACATTATGGGCAATAGGATTCAATAAAGTTGCATCCGTATGGAAAGCCTAATTTTATCAACATAAGAAACGAAGAATGAACAAAATCTCCTGAAATATGTGCTGTTCTTCAGCCATACATTCACTCTAATAAGTTCGCATGCTTCCTAGTCCCCAATTTCCTTGTGCTTTACCACTTGTCATTGAGTGATAGGATAACATATTTTGTTTCCCATATATTTGTATTTTTACTTTACGAAACCTCATAGAAGAACTTCACTTCGGCCTCCTGGGGCTGAATATGAGTCGAACTATTAGTGAGCTACTCTAAACAGTCGCATGTAATGTAAACAGGTGCGTGCTTTGGTTCTTGTCTATAAGGAGTCATTTAGGATATATACAATAACAAAGAAAAAGAGTGAACTAAATGATCACTCATAGAAGCACCACAAGTTAATACTAAGGCTCGAAAAACTTTGCATTTTTACATAGGGAGNGAGCACGAAAAAAAAAAAAAAAGAAAGAAAGAAAACTCAAGCAAGAATTAAGAAATTGGCAAAATTGCAAGGCAAACTTATCCATGTATACCTTGGGGCATTGTTCCACTTCCGTTTGGCCACAATAATATGTACCTTAGGACCATCAATCGTCAATGAAATGCAGGGAATTTGTGATTAACATTGGTGAATTATCCACTTAGTTACTATTGCCTTGACTATTTTCACATAATCAAAATTTTCTGATGAAGCATGCAAAAGTTTACAAATAAAGTCTTCTGAATCGAAAAAGTGAAAGGATGAACTTGTATCAAAACTTTCATTCTTCTGACATCTTTACATTGAATCAAACAATATATAAAAGAATGGAACAAAAAATAAAGAATAAAAAAATACATCAACTATGTAGTCAAAAAATCATAACATCCTTGATAATTGATTAAAGGCGTGGCTTATAACTCAGAACCTTGAGTTCTTGCACTCAACAGAAGCTCCCTGAGGAAACCTCCGATTATCTGTGCAATAGTTGTAGACCATGTGCCTCTGTTGAACCCATCTCAATCTCTTTCTCCCATTAGCATCGAGCTCCGGTGCCTGAGATTGTGCACCGCCTTCAATCTTGAAATTTCTGTAGTTTGCCACAAAGGGAGCCTTTGTCCAGTCTGTCTTGACCCGGCCTCCTTGAGTAGCCCATTCATCTGCATTCCACAAACTGCAGTACACTCTCATCGCCTTGCTATTGGGAAAAGGTACCCCACTCGATTCGTGGTTGTTGTAAACTCTAATCGGACTGTTGTCTACCAAGAATCTGAAATTTTCCCCGATATATTTGGTTAATTCCAAACTACTAGCAAATTCAACATACCATATATTGCCAAAAATTAGTTCGCAAATCAATCACATACATTATGCGCTGAGGATTCCAGACGATTGAGTATGTGTGGAATGCGGCAGTGGGGTCGAACCAGAGATGGAACTGTTGTTCCTTGTCTCCTTTGCCCTTTGAGTATACATTTGTGTGCAATGTGTAAGGCTCACCGCTTGAATTCCCAAGAAACTCAAAGTCTATCTCGTCGTGCCCTGCCCCTTGAGACGACAACTGCGCAAGTGGACAAATGACACTCAATAAACATAATTCAGGCTGAAACGCAATGAATAGCTAAAGAATCACACTTACGAAGAATGTGGTGACAGTGCCGGCAGAGTTTCCTGGGACGAGTTTGAGCTGCATATCAAACCTTCCGAACAAATACTCGTTCTTCGATTGGAATCCGGAGCCCGAGTTTTGGTCGAGGGAAAGAGATAGTTCACGCCCGCCTTCGAGTATCTTGGCACGGCCATCACCCCATGTTATTTCCGCATCCTCGTAGAAATTACCTTCGGAGAGGCTCGCAAAACAGACCAAAGTTACCAAAAGTGACAGAACAGTGAATTTCGCCGAAGCCATTCAAATTTATTTGATAGAGATAGAGAGAGATGAGAAGAGAGAAATTTGATGTTGTATTCGGATTTGATCCTGGCTTGATCGATTGGATATGTCTATATATATATATGGCGTATGTGCGTGGGTGTGGATTTGGGTGTTTTCGGAGAAGGTGGTGATGCCCAAAACAGGGGATTTTCAGCACGCTGTGTGTGAGCTGTCTAAAGTGGCTAACGGACGGAATAATTGTGTTTGTGCGCGTAAGGTTATGAGAGCATCTTTATAAAAGAGGTTTATAAACCTCACTTTTGGAGGTTTTATTATTAAAATGGTGGGATTTGAGGTTTACAAATGTGAACCAGGTTTAGGTATGTAAACCTCACATAAAACCTCACAAAAGTTGGCCCACACAACTTTTTTTGACCTTTCGTGGCTTTTTATTTTTTATTTTTTCCTCTTTATGAATTTACGTGACTTTTTGTAGTTTTTTATTTTTTTTCTTTTCTTTATGAATTTATGTTCTCCTCTTTGTTTAAATTTTTTGTTACTAACTTTTGTTTTTATTAACATTGATATTAATTTTTTTTTATTGAAACGATATGATCACTCTATAACCAAACAAAAGCGAAATCAAGGTACATTGTCCGAATATAAAATGAAGGGATAACCCCCTAAGCCGAGGGCTTAAACCAGAGAGGAACCTATATGGACATTCCACATAGCCTAGAAACAATACATACAAGAATTAGGTTAAAGGCTGCACAGCCGCTGAATCCTGTAACAATACAGATCAAATACATCAAATCAGCAAACAATAGAAAAACAGGAAAACATAAGACAACTACAGACCATCTCCACTGTACAGCTTGAGCCGACAGACCTAGATCAAGTACTGTGATGTCTTCTACTTGCATCTCTCCTCAGCTGAGTATTTTCCTGCCATTCCCCTAGAGCTCCCTTGACTATGCCAACCTCCGACCTCCAAATTTTTTCAAACAACCACAGATTTCTTGATTTCCAAAGCCACCACAAAATATAAGTAGTAAGCTCAATCCTTGCTTCAGAAATTTCACTGTTGTCCACACTGCAAACCTCTCCCCACCAATCAGAAAACCTCTATGAATTATTGTTTACCCCATCTCAACACACTGGGGCATGTTTTCAAACTTTCCTAGCTCTATCACATTTGAAGAAAACATGTTCAATAGTCTCCTCTTCCTTCCCACATCCATGGCATAACACATCAATTTCAATGCCTCTCCTTTTAACATTCACATTAACTGGCAGAATACCCGCAAAACATTTCCAAATGAAATGTTTAATTTTACTTTTCACCCTGAGTCTCCATCCTCTCATTCTCACCAGCTTGTTCCTTAGAGCATTTGAATGCCCTCTGCCACATCCAATTTAACATTGATGTTAATTTTGTTCTTTGAAATTATATTATTTTTTAATTAAAATTTTACATCGGTATGTAATTAACACTCTATAATTATATATAATTATATTATTTTTATACCTATTTATGATAAATATATGAAATATTTATATTGAATAAAAATAAAAGATGGAGTTATAGTTTTAAAATATTAATAAATAATAATAATTAAAAGTAAGTGGAAAACATGTGGGCCTCATAAAAATGAGGTTTATGGGGTTTATTGTTATTGGAGGTTTAGACCTTCTCCAATGAAACTGCAAAACGCAATTTTTGCAGTTCAATTTGCTCCAAGCGTACCGCAAACGCAACTGGAAAATGCGTTTCCACCCTCTCTCTCCTCTCTTTAGAAGCAATTTTGCGTCTGATGGCAAAATATGCGATTGTACTTTTTCAAATTGCATCCAAGCCCTTATTTTTTGTAACACTATCCCAGTATACCCCACCTATTATATATATTCTATATAATTATTATGTTTTATCTTTTATAAGTTAAATTTTACACATTGTAGTAATTATATATATATATATATATATTATATTTAGTAAATATATTTAGTAATTATTGAAGTTAAATATTGTTTAATTATTTTTATTATATATTATTAGTATTTTTTTTAAAAAAAAGTGACAAACTATATTAATATTAAAAAGACTACAAATTTAACAAATAAAAAAGACATTAATATTACCAAATTAGTTATTATATTGTGTGTTGTAATTTTTAAATTTAATTTTTAATGACTATTTATTTTTCCGATTTTATTATGTATATGATTATTACTTTATAATTAGTTTATTACATAAAGTCCAAATTGAATTGAAAATAATAGTATGATTTAATTTGTAAAGTTTTAAAATATGTGAGTAGTATTGAAACGTTGTAAAAGTTGATGTAGAAGAGAATATTCCTTTGGGTTAGAGAATGAGTTTTTCGGTTGGAGATGAATTACTGCAAAATGGGTTGAGTATGAGGTATTCGGTTGGTGATGGCCTTATGGTGTAGGAGTAAGAATAAGGTTTTTGATGATGTGACTTGTTGAAAAGTGTAAAAATGAGGTTTATGTGGTTTTTCTTTTTTCTTTTCTGTCAGACAGCTATCGGGCCAAGGTTTATGAGGTTTAATTGTTAAAAATGCCATAAGTATGAACCGAGGTTTATGAGGTTTAGTTGTTAAAATGCCCTAAGTATTATACTACTATGTGGATCGACCGTCGAGGACCATTATTCAGCTTTCTTGGCACCAGGTGTAGCTGCAAGAGGGGACAAATAACAAATTCGTAATTTTAACCATTTATTGCCAGGAAATATAGTAATTTAATATCATATAATGAGGGCTTCTTTGATGCTTCCTGCTAATATGTGATGGAAATGTCATTTTGCAACTATACGTGAGACAAAATAAAATAAAGGAGGGACAGAGCTAGGCCCCACCTAGAATTTAGATTTTTAATAATCCTAAAATAATCTATATCTATATCTATCTATACTATTATAAAAGGACGAGTGATTTTGTAAAAATAATGATCTGCCTAAAAAACCCTTACTTTGACATATTTTTAATGGCAAATTAGTAATACAGTAATATCCATCTTATTTTATATTTTTAATTAACAAATGAACTACCTAAAAAACCCTTACTTTGACTTAATTTTAATTTTAATGGCAAATTAGTAATACACTAATAGTCTTCAAATCTTATTTGTTTTGGTAATCACTAATATTTAATTAAATAAATAACGGCGTAACATTAAAAACTATTACAATACACGCCCAAAGTATGACTCAAATAATTCTAAATTTTACTAAAAATGATGGAGATTGAGGTGGTCTTTGAAGAAATCGTTATGATTCTCTTAGCTAAGTAGCTATTGGAAAAAAAATAACTCTTCCACATAAGTCCACCAAAACAAATTGGTTCTTGTAAACAATATCTACAAAATAATCTTATGTAATATTTAGTCCAAATGTTTTATTATATTCTATGTCTAAATGTTGTGCTAACTAAAATGGTAACTCAAAATACTACTATAAAAGGACGAGTGTTTTTGTAAAAGAAATAACCAACTAATATACCCTTACTTTGATATATTTTTAATGGCAAATTAGTAATAACATAATATATATCCCATCTTATATTTTTTTTATTAATAACTAATATGTACCTAAATTCTCTTTATTTGACATATTTTTAACCTCAAATTAGTAATACACTAATTCTCATTTAATATTTTATTCATTTAATACAATTAAATGAACAAAACATTCCACATCTCTTAAAAATCAACCACAATATTCACACCATTATTCTTCAAGAATTTGGTTTCTTCCACATATCTCCCAAACCGTTTTCTTCAATATCTCTAAAAAATCAACTCAACATTAACCCAAACAACAAAGTTTTGAAATGATATTGAATATTTTTTTTTTGAATAACGTCCTTATTTTTAATATAATTTTGATGATAAAATCGTAATCATATATAATGATTTTAATATATAAAATTTATTTAAATAAAAAATTATGCAACAAAAACAACATAATAAATACTTATAAAAGATCTAAATATTCTCAACTATTTGTCATTACAATTTATAAAGTATACAAAAAGTATTGCATCAAAACAACATAATGTCATTACAATTTATAAAGTATACTTTTCTTAATTTGTCAACTTTCTCATATGTAATACTTTTTTTAACACATCAATACAATCACAATAAATTCAATAATTAAAAAAAAAAGCATAGTTTTTCTCAATTCGACATAAGAAAATCATAAAAAAATAATACATTTTTCAAAATCTTTTTATGAACAAAAATTTTATGTTGTAGTATAGTTGACTCGACAATATAATAGATGATTGTATAAATTACGAATATATAACTAGAATTCTACATACACTTAAAAAAGACTTAAAATATATTTTCTAAAATTAGATAAAAATTATGTCGCAAAAGAGAGATAATAAGATATCATCAAGAATAAAAAGAAAAGAGAGAAATAGAGCGTAAAATTGTAAACTTTGATATCATATTTTCTTTAGTTGGGATACCGCATTGATGTTATAATTTTAATAACGTTATGAGTTGAATTAAATTATAATTGGTTGAGTTGTAAATTAATCATTATTTGTCTTTATTCTTTTAATTTTATTTTCTAAATAGAGGACATGATTAAAATTATGAAAAATATTCCCATAATGTTTGTTAGATATCTTATGCTATTTGTTTTGGGATGATGCCAGTTTCGGGACTATTGGACAAACATGGATCTGCACATGATTGCAACAAAATATTTTTGTTATAATTTTCATTGAAAAATTCAAACGAAAATTGTAACGTTGAAATATTCGTTAGAATTGTTCTCGAAATTTCGCTGTAATATGTTTTCATTGGAATTTCATCATTTTCTTGTAATAAAAGTATGACTCCAAATCAAACTAAAAAATTCGCACTATATATAATATTGTGTGCAGTTAATTGTTTTGAAAATTGTAAATAATGATACAAAATATAACATATTTAATGTAATTATCATTTAATTTATGATAATTAGTAATTAAAAAATACATATAAGTTGAAAAGTCCTTAAATATTTTATTAGTATTATAATAATTAAAGAAGAGGCCAGAATGATGTTCTACTGAAAATGTAATATTAATACTAAACAAGATGTAAAGATGATGTTCTACGTAATAAAAAGGTAAAACTACATAATGAGAAAGCTTATAACTGACATTCCACTCAAAAATAAAAAAAAATGATAAAATTAATACATGTCATATATCAATTGGAGCTAGCGAATGATAAATGTAAAATATACTTGAGATGCACATTTATAAAAAATATATTTATTTTTTTGTCTTAGAAATCGGTATGTTAGTCATAATTTTTTAGTTAAAAAATTAGTTAATTTACACCATTAAATTTCTTAATTTTGAAATACTTATTTTTTTTTGTTACCCTTTTATATGTAATATATCATATCATTTAAAATAAAAATAATATAATTATTTATATCGATATAAAATAATATATATATATATATACCAATACCAATTTAAAATAATAAATAGACCTAAAAGAATCTTATAAAATAATTATAGATCCATGTTAAATTAATTTTATTAATTATAAAATAATATTAGATAAACTTGTGGTATATTTTTCTGACATAGATTTGAAATATTCATACTAAGGAAAAAGTCAACTAGATGTAATTGTACAACTATTACCAATATTAAATATGTGAATTAAAACAAAAAAATAAATCAGTTGTATGTTAAACTATTATTCAATTATTGCTTGAAAGGGAACACCATAATGGTTGTAAAAAGTATTTTTTGTGAATATAAACATGAATTAGTTACTTAATATTTTATCAGAACATGGAAATAAATTCAAAACCTTTTAATATTATAAACAATATAAAACTACATTTTTATCAAGTATATTATTACTATCAAACACGTAAAAAGAATGCATTGCATATAATATTCTCTAATTCTTTCAAGAAATAAAATATTATTTGTGAATAAAATAAAACAAATAAAAAACAAGTAAACCAATAGTAATGCAATGAGGAAAAGAAAAATTCTGAATTTTTTTAGAAAAGTATGAATACTAATATCAAGAAACAAAAATCTTTTAAAATTACTACTTTTTTTGTTGCTAGCATTTAAGTATATATTCTCTATAAGAAATTAGTTCTCATAAATAATGATTCGATATTATCATAAAATAGACCACAAACTTTAATAATGACTTCATAATAATAAAGTTAACAAATGACTAAGAGTATCATAATATAGTATAATTCAAATTCTTCTCATCTGAAATATTTTACTTCTAAATATTGTCTCATTGTTTTGTTTTGTTTTGTTTTGTTATTATTGAAGAATCAATGAAGGATCTTTATCTTGAATTTTTTAAGAATTAGTTATGATACAAAAGATTGGACAATAAACGCAATAAATGTTATTAGACACATAAATATTGCAAATCTGAAAGAATATGGAAGGTATCTATCTTCCAAATTAATAACACTGAAAAGGGAATGTTTAATACTGATTAAAATATTTTTGAATGTTGAATAAGTTGTCACTTTTTGATAAGAATTTACAATCATAATTGTGTATTGTGCTCGATCATACGCGCATTTGTTTTAGAGTACATATTTTCATGTAATGTGTGATGATTTCAAAAAAATAATTTAGCATCTTCATAGAAGTACATGATTTTGGAAAATCAAATTTTATTTAGAGATGAAATTCGTTCCCACCTCATGGGGTAAGTACTAATTTGTCTATGTGGAGAGAGAGAGAGAGAGAGAGAGAGAAATGTAGTAGTTTATACATTGATTAAAAGAAATATCAAGAATTTTAATGACACAAATATCAAGAAATTTAATGATACAATTGTTTATTTCACAGAGATACTTATGAACTATTAGTAGAAATACCTTATAATGATCATACAATCATAAAGTTTGACTATATATTTGGCTAAAGTATTTCTAAGTGTTGAATAAAACAGACGTTTTGCAAAATTAATTAAGAAGAATTTTGTAATACTATTGATGTATTAGAATTCAACGAGTATGAATGTTTCTTATGAGAACATCAAAACCAAAATAAAAGAAAACGACTCTTAAATCTAACATAAATAAATAAAAGAACTCATGCATCTATAATATACATTATGTCTTTATTTAGTCATTTATTGTTTATTCATTAGGAACTCATTTTTCATATATTTTTGTTGGAGTTGTAATATGATATTTAAATCTTTTTATATTACGACAACATTTTTATATTTAAAATAAAATGCATGAAAAGTTAATTTATTCTACATTTTATTTTGTTCCTGCAGTCATATGTGTAATAAATTAATTAATTTATCTTACTAAATTTAATCGGTAAAAAGCATTCGTCGCCACGTGCATCGCACGTGCACTTTACTAGTAAATATAAATTGTGTAGTTTTATAAAAATAATCCATAAATGAAGTTATTTAATAATTAGTTTTTTTTGTTCTCTCATATTAAAATTTTCTTGTTATAATATTTTATTTATCTGTTGTATCTTTGTATAAATTTATCAAAACATCGCATGCTGCTATAATAATTATTATGTTGAGAATTGTTGTCAATGAAAATTCATGTCAACTACGAAATTAACTAAGAAATAGAATTGTAATAAATTCTTTGCTTCAACATATTAAGAAATATTATCTCTCTCCAACTCATGTCGAGTACAATTTAATATTGAGAAAAATCATGAGATCTTGACATATATACAACTTAATGTGTTTTCATTGGGTAGATGAATATTTTTGTTTTGATAATAACACATTTCCAGTCATCAGAATGAATAATAAAACGGAAATTTACAAAATATTAAAGATATTGTATAAGATTTCATCTTGAATTACATCAAAAAAATTAGAATGTATGTATAATGTTATTTTTTTGTCTTATTTGTGATATTTTGTTTTATCGCCTTTTCAATTATTACAAAAATTTGGCCCCATCTCATTCCATTTGCTAGATCCGCCCCTGAGGACCATACGCAATTTGGTTCAAAAGGATTGGAGTGTAAGGATCCAACAGGTGCATAGGGAAGTCAAATACGCGGCTGACTTTCTGGCGAGCTTGGCATCTTCCTCCCTGCTAAGTTTGCATCGCTTGGTTTCTCCTCCCACAAGCTTGGACACCTGGCTTGACCATGATATTATCGGGGTATCTTATCTTCGACGAGTTCTAACCTCCTCAATTTTCTAGGCCTTTGGCCTCCTTATTGTACCGAAAAAAATTAAATAAAATAAAGGAAAAAGAATAAAGTAAAAGAGTAGTAGAATGGTCCATGGGTGTTGATTTATAAATTACCTATGGTAAAATTATGTTTCTAAATATTCTTAACCGTAAAATGAAGCTCTGGCTTGTTGGATACATGGCTCTACAGTAAATTTTGAAAAGACAAAATTTTGCAGCCAATCGGCAAGGGCATTTCAAGTAATTATCCATATACATCAGTTGATTAGCCATATAAAATGATGGATTAATTATGATATGAATGTAGTAATGCCTTAAAAAATTATAAACAGAAAAAGAGGAGCAAAAGAATTAGGCACATTATGGCAGCCCATTGTATGATCCCGCGTACCGTATTGCCCCATCAATTACTACATACAACACCAACAAACATACAATATTATGTCCACTTAGTCTTACGAGGTCAGAAAATCAATTAACTTTTTCACTACAGCCTGGCACCAAACGAAGTTGAGTCATGCCTGAACCAGTAATTCACGCGTTTAATTATTTTAAATTTTAATCATGAAGTCTTTCGGCCAGCTAACTCATGGATGAAGCTTCTCTGCATGGAGCCATGGGCATAGCCTATATATATATTTATGGAACCCCAGGCCAACATAATCACAAATCACAATCAAACACATAACCAAAACATACAAATGGCTGCTGCCTTCCTTTCTAAACTCGCAATGATCTCGATTTTTGTGCTCTTGGCTTGTTTAACCGTGCCATCCTCTGGAAACTTCTACCGAGATGCGGAAATAACATGGGGCGATGGCCGGGCCAAGATACTCGAAGGCGGGCGTGGACTATCTCTGTTGCTCGACCAAAACTCGGGTTCCGGATTTCAATCAAAGAAGGAGTATTTGTTCGGGAGATTTGACATGCAGCTCAAACTCATCCCGGGGAACTCCGCTGGCACTGTCACCACATTCTTCGTAAGTCTTCACCGATTATTTTTATTGCTTATTTATTACCATTATTCTTTACTCATAGCATCTCATTACTTTTTCCTTTGTTGTGCAGTTGTCGTCTCAAGGCGAAGGACATGACGAGATAGACTTTGAGTTTTTGGGCAACTCGAGCGGTGAGCCTTATACGGTGCACACGAACGTGTACTCAAAGGGCAAAGGAGACAAGGAACAACAGTTTCGCCTTTGGTTCGACCCTACTGCCGCATTTCACACATACTCCATCGTCTGGAGTGCTCAGCGCATAATGTAAGTAATTAATAATGAGTTGTGGTCAATTTCTTTAGATGAACTTTCTAGTAGTTTCTAGCTAACCAAAATGTATTTATAATTGCAAAATATTCAGATTCTTGGTGGACAACAGTCCGATTAGAGTTTTCAACAACCACGAACGGAGTGGGGTACCTTTCCCCAACAACAAGGCGATGAGAGTGTACTGCAGTTTGTGGAATGCAGACGAGTGGGCTACTCAAGGCGGCCGGGTCAAGACAGACTGGACAAAGGCTCCTTTTGTTGCCTATTATAGAAATTTCAAGATTGAAAGCAGTCCACAATTTCAGGCTCAGGAGCTTGATGTTAATGGAAGAAAGAGATTGAGATGGGTTCAGCAGAGGCACATGGTCTACAACTATTGTGCCGATTATCAGAGGTTTCCTCAAGGAACTTCTGTCGAGTGCAAGCGCTCGAGGTTCTAAACCTCTGTGTGGAGTCTTCTATTCTTTGTAAATTCATTGGTGTTTGTGCTTGGTTCAGCATTATTATTCATTCATTAATGATTTTTTTGATGTATTATGTTATGTACATGTAAGAGAACAAATTATTATTCAGAATAAATGAGGGAACCACATACCTGTTTATTTCAAAAAAAAATGTGACCAAATTCACTCAGGATATCAAGTTTATGCTGCAAATATTCAGATGTGTGCTGAATACAAGAATGTCTTGAACAAACACATACAGTATCCAACAACTCCACACACGTTGCAGCCACTTGAGAGGCCTGGATGAAATGGTAAAAAGGAAAAACAAAAAGAGTACCTTATTGACAATGTTAGAATTCATCATACATCAGTAAGAAACTGAAGCTGTGAGTTTTTATTTTACGATATATATATATATATATATATATATATATATATACTTCACCAGCAATATAAACTTGCCCCTCAGTAATATATTGACAAAAGGAACTAAAAACAATGACCTTATGGTGAATGTACGGTGAAACTTACAAGTGAGAGAGATCGATAACATTGTGGGCAATATGATTTATGCAAGTCGTATCCATATAGAAAGCCTAATTCATCAACATAAGCAAAGAAAAATCAGGCATGAAGAAAAACAAAAGCTCCTCAATATATATGTTCTTCATCTGTACATTCACACTAAAAAGTTCCCATCCTCCCTAATCACCTTATGTTTTACTAAATGATGTGGACTCTGCAGGGTATAACCACTTGTCATCGAGTAATAGGTTAGCACATTTTGTTCTCCATATACTTGAGTATTTACTTAACACAACTTCATATAAGAACTTCACTTACTCCTGCCTCCTGGGGCTGAATATGAGCCGAAATATTTGTCTAGTCGAGCTCGATTTGTTGTAGGCCCAACCTTTTCTATACACCATAGGTAGCAAAATCTATCTCCCAATAGTTAGACTTGAGTAGTACATAGAAACAAATCAAATTTTAGTGTCTCTGTAGCAAATGTGACACGAAGCAAGTCTAAGATATATAAGGTTTGCACCTGCTTAAGACATATTCCCAACTCCAACCAGTCCGATGTAAGTTAAACAAGTGGCATTTTTTGTTCTTGTCTATGAGGAGTCAATAAATTACAAGAATATAGAAAAATATCGAATAAACTGATCACTCAAAGGAGGAGCATGATATTTTAACTGCACAAACATTAGCCTCCCATGAAGTATTTTCTACACCACCTTGATCGTGCAATACTCCGAATGTAACAGTAGCTAGCGCTCTCTCTCTCTCTCTCTCACACACACACACACACACACAAGAGGTGATCTTTAAATAATTTCTTCAATATTCAAGAATAAAGTAATGAATATATCATGAATCCCACAAACTTTTTTCAATTTGTTCTGTAGATACTAGAATTCATGAGAGAACTTCAGCAAAAGAACAACGGCTCGCACAAAAAGAGCTAGCAGAAAGTAACTTGGGTCTACATAAGAGGCGGATGCAAAAGAATAGGGTTCCTAAGCTCTCATAAGTAGCATCTCATGACCAGCACACAGTCACTTGTGCAATAACATGTCGGAATTCAACCTCCACAGAAAACAAATCCCAAATAGATTAGATCATTCAAGGAAATTGACTATCCCTGCATAGAAGAATTTGAAACATGTGGCTTGACTGCTATTATCAAATCTATACCGACTTGATCAGCAAAACATCATAAATCCTAAAAGGCAAAGGCATAAGAAAGCTACAGCTTAGGTAACATGTAGAAGGGTAATAAATACTCTTCAGGCCCAATCTTAGCACCCAGTTCAAATAAATAGACGTTGCTGTTTGAATTGTTTCAGCATTAGCCAACAAAAATAACACCAATCAGAAACATCTGAAAACCATGCATAAAAGAACTCACACAATGATTCAATGAACTTCCATACGTCTTGAATAATAACATCCAACCTGTGTGAAACAGTCACCCATACATAATATAAAACTCAGAATCTTAATACCTTTCTCCATAAAACCACAAGTAAACAACAAACAAGATTCAACAGAATAACATAAACGACAGCACAATAAACTTTTCTGAAGAAACAGAACACTAGCACCACTATTGTTATCAAAATTTATATAGAGCATTCAATGCCCACAGGAAAACTTGATCTCCAATAAGAATCGACAACTTCTCAGCACTCACCCAAGAATCAAAAAAGAACACTAGTTTTGATTCAGATCACTTTGAGGACAGCTTTTTCTTGTGTTTCACATCCTTCACCTTGGCAATCTCCTGACCCGACTTTTTCCCAAGCTGACTCATTTTCTTCTTCTTCTTTCCAACAGACAGTTCATCTTTCTTCGGTTTCCCACTTCTGCTCTTCTCAGCTTTTACCTTTTTCTTCACCGAATTTTCTTTCAGAGATTTACTTTTACTTATTTCCATCCCCAAAGTTTCATTATCATCACTTAAATCCTCATCCACCTCAATCTTCTTATCATCATACGTATCACCCTCGCCATCATCATTTTCGTCCATCAAATTTCCTTCCCCACCATAAACCCCACTCCTCACAAGATCATTTCCATCGACACCATCATCACTCTCCATATCCTCACCAACATCCATATAATGAACCTCATGAATTCTACCCTTCTTCTTTTTCTTCCCAACTTTGCCCTCCTTCCCACTTATTTCCATAGTCACACCCACATTCTCGCCGTCTTTAGCATGCTCACCCTCTTTAACACTCTCCTTCAAACCCTCGATTTTTAGTTTCACATCAGGCATGACCTGGTAGATGGGCAGGGCCACCGAATCTGAGAACTTCAAGTGCAAACTCCTCACACCATCCCACTTTTTCGGCACCCTCTGAACAGCACCTTCAACTGCATCCAACACGTTCTCCGCAATCTCGTCATTCTCCATAGCCACCTTGCCGACCTTCATCACGCAACAAGTCCCAGTCCTCAGATACAAAAGGGAACTCCCTAAAGCCCTCTCCACCTGCAATTTCAGATTCTTCATGCCCATGTCCACCCCGAGTGGCAGCTTCTTTTTCTTGAAAAACTTCTTTCCAATCAGCTTGGGTAGCAAATGGACCACCCTCTTGTCCACCAAGAACAAGTCGTAACTGTCGCAAAGCTTTCTCTTGGCTTCATAGGGCTTGTAGTTCGACTTGAGCTTCGAAACCCTAATGACTTTCGAAATGGTTATGCCCTGGGATTTGATTAGCTTCTTGATTTGGTCCGAAGGAGGTGTGGGCGATTTGGGCCTGTCGTCGATTATCAGGCAGACCTGTGAAGTGGCGTCAAGGATGGGGTGAGGGAGGGGGATTCTGAAGGGGCTCGTGCGAGGGTTTGACGGGATTTTTTTTAGGGTTAGGTTAAGATAGATGTAATCATCTTCCGGCAGAAGCTGCAGCTTGTCGGAGGATGATTGGGCGGCGGCTTTGAATTTCAGAAGGGCACTCACGGCCGAATCAACGGTGGACTTTTGAAGCCGTGAAGTGGCGGCGGCGAATGGTTCTGCGTTGGAAGCCATGTGAGGGAAATGCAGAAGAGATTAGAGAAGTGCGGTTTTGGTGGGGTTTAAGGGGAGAGTTGGCTTCTGTAAAAGGGTTATTATTGGGCTGGTGAAATGGAAAGGGCTGAACTTGAACGGAATTTGGGTATGACTATTGGGCCTTTTATGATAGATGGGCTATAAACCCATTATATAGTAATTTGTGCAATCCCGTGGCTATAAACCCATTATTTCTCTTATTTCTCTTTAGATCTTTGATAAGTACCTGCCATTGATTCATGCGTGTATGTTATTATTGTTTGTCTTATTAATTGATTGGTAGCGAAGGGAAATGTTCACATGCCCACGCTGGGCACGTATTAATATAATCATCGCTGATGTGGCATATGATCATCGCTGATGTGGCATGTACACATTAGTGATGTTAATATGTTAAAAAAGATACATCACCAATATGTGTATGCCACATTAGTCGGTGGGCATATTAACATGTGTCCACCATGGGCATGTGAGCATTTCCCTGGTAGGGAAAGACAATTTGAAAAGGCTTAGGCTTTTACAAGTTAATTTACTCACATTTATTTCATACTCAAAATTTAACTCAATTTTAATCCACTCCACTATCTTTAATATTATTCATATAATTAAATAATACAAACCAATCATTGTCACACATCACATCAACTTTAACTAATTATACATCCATTCACATAATTTTAACTATCTATCATTTTCAATCATTTATCTCCTTCTTTTACATCAAATCAATTTTAATAATTTAATTTTAAATATTATTTTAATACATTCTTAAAATTCCATTAACAATTAATCATACCATATTTTCTAAAATTAATTATAGTTAACTAAAATAACTAATTTTAACGGATTATTTAATAAACAAGAGAGCCCTTAATAGGTCATTTATGCAACACTCATTTCAATATTATTTGGTGGAAGATATCATCTTCTTTAATCTATGATTTTATATATAGAATTATAAGATATTATTTATAAGTTGTTCCGATTTATGGGATTCTTGGAATCCCAATAAAATAATCTCTTCAAATTATTTGATGATATTACTTGTGAAATGTACTATTATAAAAGAATGCGTGTATCATATAATATTTGTTGGGATATTTTCATTCTCTCAAATTTTTATATCATATATTGCATGTTTCTAATTGTAGACAATGATTAAATTTCGTATCAAATTGGTTTCGAAATATATCAAAGTACTATTGTTAAAAACATAAAAATTTTATATACGTTCCATGTTTAACTTTTAACTTTTAAAAAACGGATTCAGAATTATATAATCCATTGTCAACAGTGTAAAACAATCTTTTTCGTCCTATAGGCCTAGCAAAGTACAACGAAAACTAAAAAAGAGGGGTAGTCTTCCTTTTCTTGTATTCAATCAAGAGAAAACCCACCCCCAGAGTCTAGTAAAGAGAATATACTAACACTAAGATTAAGATAACATAGAATACGACCTTAATTGAAATGCATACATTTGTCTCATACACTATGGGAATGGCGAGAAAAGAAATATTTTACATCCCAGAGGGGTTTTAATTGGAGATATCATTGTTTCTGGTACAGAAGTTCCTATAAAAATGGAAAATGCGCTACTTTTGAGTGCGGTTTGAACTCTGACCACATTCTTCATAGGGTCCTCTTATCTCTTCCTTCTCGAAACTCATATTATAAAAAAAGATCTCTTTTAGATACTTATATTGCCGATCTGTTCGGGTCCATTTACGGATAATCGTGTTTCGTATTTCAAGTATTAGGAATCGCAACAAATATGGAAAAAAATGTCTTTTGTCAAATTAAAACATTATCCCTATAGATATGTAGGAAGCATAAAAGAATTTCAAGCTTTTGAAAAAACAAAGTTGCGGCTCTAGTTAGAAAATTTAGGTACATATTTGTAAAAAAGATTCGTAGTTAGAAAATTTAAGTAACAAATTCCATAATTCAAGGGCAACATTTAATGTTGTCCGATTTTTTTGACAAAAATATATATATATATATATATATATACTAAGAATGGTAGGTAATTAATGTTGTCCGAAATTTGACCAGTGTTTGACATACAATTTTTGAAAAAATGTTATTTGTATTATATAGATATAGATTGAGGTATTAGAAAAATATATACTTATTGTAAAGTGTATTATAATAAGAGTAATAGTGGTATTTTATGTATATAAATATTACTTAGATAAAACTCCAAATTTATATCAACTACTTCCAACTACACAAAAATTTAATATAAAATTACGTGCAAAAATTTGATGTCTAGATACATAAACTAGTGCGTAGCCCGTGCGATGCACGGGTAAACAATATGACTTTCATAGCATGTAAAATTATATTATCACACGTGCATAATAAAATTTACATCTTAAGTTCATATTTTATGTTTTTTAATGGAATAAAATCCTTCATTTTAGCGATCAACAACAACAACAACATAGCCTTTAGTTCCAAGCAAGTCTGGGTAGGCTAGAGATGAAACCCAAGAGAAATTTTAGGGATCATATGTATTTAATATGTCCAAATTTATCTACATATCGGCAATTTAAATTTTGAATTTGAAAATAACCCGAATCTATGATTGCAAAATATCGTTTAATAATTAAATCAACCGCAACTTTAGGATTTGGTATTTTGAAATTTAGAAAAAAATAAAATCATTAATCTAGGGGAGATATGTGATAAATCTATCAAAATCTTGTGTACATCACGTTTTACAATTAAAGCAATTTAAATATGGAGGTTATTCTTATTTCTAATCTCTGATTTAAACAAAGATCGTAAAAGTTTGATCGTTTCAAAATTAGACCAGTGTATTATTTTTCATTATAAATAATTGTCAAACAAAACAATTGAATCAGCCGCAACTTTATTCTTTTAATTGAAACAGCCCAATTTGATGGTTAGAAAAAATATTTTCAAAAGAAATAAACAAATGAATTTTTATTTTCTATTTTATATTTTTACACTTAAATTAGCCGTAATTTTTTTTTTTAAATAAAATCTGTTAATCAAAACATATGTATTAGCCGATTTTATAGAAAAAAAAAAAGTTTTCGGTATTTTGAAAATAAAAAGTATAGTTTTATGGTTAGAAAAAATAACACATATATTTTTTTGTTATTAAATCAGTATTAATTTTTTTATTAAAAAAAAGCTGCCAAGCAAAGCAGTTGTATTAGCCGAATATCTGGTTTTAAATTTGAAGAATATAATTGGCCGATATTTAATTGAATTAACAGTCGTGATGTACATTTTTATTCAAATTTAAAAATAGCTTCTCGTAACCAATAACCAAATTTAATTGATGCAGCCCGTGCATTATCAGCTTTTGATATGCACATCGTGTCAAATCATCGCAAATATTCAATAGACCAAATTTAAATAGCAGCTCGCTTTTTTAAAAATAAAAAAGTAACAAACTCCTCATTTTAAGGATAATAACATTTAATGCTGTCCGTTTTTTATTAAAAAAGATTTTAAAAAGATACTATAAATGGCATGTAATTAATGTTGACCAATTTGACCAAGGATTGACTTACTATTTTTGATAAATAGTAATTCTTATTATATATATAGATTCGATATATTATACATTTATAAATAGAAATAAATGCATAATACCGCTCTATATTTATATATAAAACTATAAATATATATAAATACACTACAAATATATATAAACAAAATTATATGCATAGAATGATAGACTCTGTAGATACCAAACTTTGCATTAACATAAATGATTATAAATAGAATAAAAAATGTATAGTCTCAATAAATTTCGAGTCTCAGTTCCACCGTGACCGAGGCTCATTGTTCGTATTTATTTTATTTTTATAATGAGATGCGATGTAAAAATATAAATAATTGTAATTAAAAGAAAGTCTAAAAAAAATAAGGTATGAGCTCCTATGTGCATCGTTTGAGATATGCACTAGTATTCCAACGGATATTCCAATAGTATATCTACCATTGGAATAATTTCAACGGAAAGTCTAGCGGAAATAGTCCATTAGAATGAGTTTTCTATTGAAATTTTAGTTGGAATTTAATGATTTCAACGACCATTTTTCCAACAGTTTATTACCGTTAGAATTTTTGTTTCCAACCATATTTGAACCATTGAAAAATATGCAGTTAGAATCGTCAAACTCTAACAGGAATTTCAATTAAAGAACCCATTCCAACAAAATATTTTTGTAGGAATTTTCGTCGGAATTTATTAGAAATTCTAACGAAAATAATTGCATAGAATTTCGCTGGAATTGTCGTTGGAGTTTCATTAGAATATATTTATGTTGAAATTTTTCGTTGAAATTTCATCATTTTCTTGTAATGATATTCCATAAATGTCGAGAACTCTATTTATTCGGGGAGAAATTGGGTGGCATGGTTTTTTTTGGTCCCACGTGGCTTTCAACAAATTTCATAATAGACTTCAAAATAATTAAAAAAAAAAACATTGAGATTGTATTTGTTTGAGATTTTGAATGATATTTTGAGACCTTCAGATTTGAGACTTAATTGTGAGGAATCTTATGAAATTTGAAGTGATACATCATATATAATTTTTTCGTTTGAAATCCCAACAAATCTTGAAAAACTATAACAAAACATATTATCAAATAAGTTAAATATCTTAAAAAATTCATAAGACTTTTTAAATTTTCAAATGAATATTAAGACTTTCAAAAGTTTTAAAAAATCTAAATTAAATACACCAAATTTCAAAAATCTTAAAAAATAATTTTAAAATATCAAACCAAGACACTCTTTATTTTTGGGCTAATCAAGTAAATGCTCTAGCGCGTGTCTAAATCTGTATTTTACGGTTTTGTTCGACCTTAAGTTAATAAGTGATATAGTTTTTGCATTAATTGGTGGAATATTTCATTTTTATTCTTTTTTATTTTCTTTTATTATTACTAATTAATTTATTTAAGTTTTGGATGGGAAGGGTGGTTTGAGGATTCAAGAAAAAGTATCATTTTAAGATTACTCTCATAATCAGTCCATCAGTTTTGATATGGAGCTATTGGATAGCTCGGTTTATGGAGTCATCCACACTTATTCACTAATAGTGTATTAACATGTGTCCTGCAATACAACTTTTGATAGTCCTTACACGGTTGGATAATTGGATTCATTTAGTGAACTTCCAACAAATTATGATATTATCAAAATACCAACAACTCACAAATAATTACATGTTTCGGTGCCATCTGTCAACATTATGGTGTCATCATCTTCTGTATTTTTCCCTTTTTAACAGAATGTCTCCAGCGTGGATACAGCAAACAACCTCTAATATCTAACAAAACTAATATTTTTCTATTCAACGGCTTGGCAAAGAAGAACATATTACATGTACTACTGAAAACAATCCATCACAATACATATGGAATATTTTATTTTAAAAATATTAAAAGTCTCACTAAAACAATTCATCCCAATAATTCATTTTGGTACGTCATGATAGCCCTATTAAAAAAATGCATACTATTCTAGCATTAAAATAAATTAAACAGAAATATAATATTTCATTATGTAAGTAGCAATTTTGTTCCAAAAGTAACGGGTAGCAGGCCATAAAATTTGTATTTATAATGCATGTAATTCCAATTAAGTCATGTACATGCCACATTTGGAATTTTTCATATTCCGGATATATTTTCTTGTGAAAAAAGCAACATTGATTAGAGTTAAATAATCATCAAACCTCATAAAAACAGCTGTGAATACATAATAATACAATAAATACAGCCATAAACACCTATGAATTGTAACAGGTAGGAGATGGAACATCACACATGACCAGGTCACTTATTTCTTGCAAACTACCTTCTCAACTTCAACGTGCAAAACCCTTTCTGGCTGTCCACTTACTTATACATATAAATAAAAAAATTTAATACTCTCTATAATTAGGCCATTAGCCAGCTGCAAACTGTCATATCTCTATTGTCCTTCTATTAGAAGTTCAGAACTCCTTCAAGTTTTTCTACTTCCTAACCTGAAAATTCTCAGTAGAAAAATGGATGATAATGATCCGAAAACCGTTCCCAGTACAAAACCTGACATCAAAACCGGCTCCGAAGAAAAAGTGGAGCCGAGCCCGGTTCTTGAACTCGAGCCTTCGACTATTGAGTCGGTTTTGAAGCCTGTTGTGGAAGAATTTTCGGAGGGAGCAAAGACTCTTGTGACGTCATGTGTTGATCACATGGAAAAAGGTTTAGTCGAAAAGTTGGGTCACGTTAACGTATCTGAATCATTGTTCAAGTTGCCGACTTCAGATGAAAAGGTTGGTGAGTCATCATCGGAGTCTGCTAAACCGGAGTCTGTAGAGAAAGAAGAACGCGGCTTGGAGGAAAATCCAAGAAGCACAGACACTAATGAGGTTTGATGAGTTTGAATAATATAATACTATAATAGAGTTAATTTTCTACTAATAATGCCCTTTGAGATATCTAAGTGGAGAGTGTGCATAATTTTCTTTCAAGAATCTGCAAAAATCGGCTAACACTTTTCCTTATAATTGGGACTTGAGGGGCAGCCAGTGACAGCTGGCACACGGGCGTCGTGGATTAACTGTTGCGGTTTGCTTGATGTCTTGAGGCCTTCTGATCATTGATACTGGTAACATTATTTTTGTTTGTTTTCTGATTTTCAATATCATAAAAATAAAACGTAAATATTGCTGTTTGATCTTTAAAATGTATATTGTGTACTGATTTTACATCATGATGTTGTTACAGAACACAGGTGTTGAATGTGCATAATTGAGCTATTCAGATGGGTGGTGATAATAAGGTGCTGAACTATGAGAACTTAGATTCATGGGTTTATTCAAGATTATAGTGATTGAAATGCGTTGAAACTTGAAATTTGTTTTTTCTTATTTGCCTATTTAGTACTCAAATTTCGTTCTCTATTGAATTGCGTGTATTTAACACTAATGTGTGATTTTACATATTACTTAGAATTATTTATCTGAAACTGAAATCTAATGTCCAAAGAGAATCACGCAAATTATTAGCAAGCCCACCAAGCATCTCTGCATAGCATAACCAAAAATCACAATCCCTAAAGCATGCAACAGTAGCAAGTACCTAATTGGNNNNAACCCACAAATCCAACAAATTTCAGCAGCTCAACAAATATCACATATCTCGATTAAGAACTTAGATAACTAAACCCCGAGCACAAACTGTCACTGAAAATTGTGAAGTGTATCAAACATACATCTGAAATCTCAGGGATGCAATAGAAAACTGTAATATTTTATGCAGTCATGGTGAACATACAGCAACTGCACTATGCTAACCAATGCTGATCAACGTGTTTGTTGGCTGAACAAGTTCGTAGTTCATACAAAACAAAAATCACATTTATTAAGACTTTTGACTATGGTCATCCAACAAGCCAGACTACATCCTCAAGCATAACTTTATACAGGTAAAACTTGAGCAGAATTTCACCAGAAATATCTCACTAGAACAACTAATTTCATCATTCATTCCAGTTCATGTGACCAACTAAACAGGAAAAATTAATAAAGTTATACACATAAGCCTCATAATAAGAAACCTCTATCAATCAGTTGAATTAAAATAACAGACCATCTTCCAAAAGTTTTACAAATGTCACTCAGACAAGTATGCTGGAAAACCAAATCCAAACACTTACAAATAAAGATCCATGACAAACTGCGAGAAGATACATCAAACATAACTTAACCACATATTTCAAACCTTCATTCAAAATAAATGATGAATGCTACCATTCAATACACGCAGTTCTTGGAGGAAAACGTTATCCAGTATTTGCTAAGACTTATTCCAGAAAAACACAACCAGAATATCACGAACCCATAGCTAAACTCCTCGTAAGGACACATAAAAAATTGAAACTATCAAAACTTAAAACACCCCCTATTGAGTTAGGAACAAAAAAGACCACCTAACCTATGAAATTCATGCAATGCAGGGGAAGCCCGAATCAGTACCTCCGTGCACGTATATAGCAAACGAAACCCATGAAAGCAACAGCAGCCACAGCCGAACCCCCAACAAATATCCAGTCCACTTGTTTTATGATCTTTTCACCATCACCACTAAGACCGCCATTCGCTACTTCTTTCTCTTCAATCTCGCTAATCACACTCTCTTTCTCCTTCAAGCTGCTTTGTAGAATACTAATTTCCACCTTCAGTTTGTCAATCTCCTTCTCCAACTCGTTATTCGACTTCTCCAGACCCTTGCTACTTTTCACAGCCACTTCCAAGTCCTCATTACTTTTCTTCAGACCCCGAATTTCCTTTTCCTTACCCTCCAATTCTAACCGCAAACCGCTTTCCACTCCCTCCAGTTTCTCAACCTTGGCCAACAACAAGTCACGCTCCTTCAGAACAGCATCCAGCTCAACACTCTTCGCCTTTTCCTTCTCTTTAACTGCCTCAAAATCCTTCTTCAAGCTCGACAGCTCATCAGTCAATTCCTGCAAATCACTCATGGTCGATACCAAGTCATGCTGAAGCCTCGACACATCAGTTTCAAGTTCCGAAGCTCGAGCAGCCACGGCACTCAAGGCCCTGTTTTCTGATTCTGCTTTGTCCACCTCCTTCTTCAGCTCCACAATCTCGGTGCTTAATTCCTTGATGGACGACTTCAGTTGCTCAATTTGCTTCTTAAAGCCCTCATTTTCCTGGATTGCTTTGGCGTTTTCTCGCTCCAGATCAGCAACCTTTGCTGTGAGCCCTGATATTTTGGCCGAAGCCTCATCCCCGGCAATTTCCACCGTCTGACCGTCGGAAAATTCCCCGTTGATCACTGTTTCATCAGCCATCTATAGTTCCTACACAACCACGAATAAGAATATTAATTATTGGACAGGAAACAACTAAACAGAAAAGGCAAAAACTTCGAGAAATTACAACCCAGGTTCAGATTCAAACCAAAAATGGGAAAGAAAATGCAAAATACACAAACTTTAAGCTTCAGAACAGCCAAACAGACGGCAGTGATCCTATCAGAACTCGGGGGTTAATTAATTAATATCTATATAAATATAAGTCAGAATTTTACAGGAATTGAGTTTCTTGGGCAAGAAGAAAAATGGAAGGGGTGAAGCTAGCAATGTACCTTTTTGTTGCGGAAACGAAGGCGAGTCTTTGCTAGATTCCAATGAAATTAGGGTTTCGAAAGATATTTTTACTTTTGATTGGGCAAATGGCAATCGAGTAGAAGACTGTGCTCCTTTCGGAGATTGTGCGTAGCACGTGCTTAAAATAAGATTGTTTATGGATTCAACTAGTTATTTTTATTTGGTTTGTTTTTTAATTATAATTAATTTTAAAAAAATATGGTATTGTTAGTTGTTAGTGGATATATTAAATAATAAAATAAAATAATTAAAGTTGATTGTAAAGTAAGAGAAAAATGATTGGAAGTGATGGTTAGTTAAAATCATGAGTGGATGAATAGTAAATTAAAGTTGATGTGATGTGTAAGAATGATTGTTTGATATTATTTAATTATATTGATAATATTGGAGATAGTGAGGTTGTGTTAAAGTTGAGTTAAATTTGAATTTTGATTAGTTTTTTTACTGTTCAAACCATATCCAATCGCCTAAGAAACCAACTCCAATTTGGCTTAATTAATAAGGATGGGTCGTGATAGTTCGAGATTTTTGAGTCACAATTTGAAATTTTTTAAGATTTAAGTTTTTTTATGAATCATGTATAATTTGGAGGGTTGTATTGGTTTAAGATTTTAAAGATTTTTTTAAGATTTCAGAATCCTAATTTATTTAATTTAAACTTTTAAGATGGTGATTGTATATGAATTAATTCGGTTATGATCCAATTTGGTGAGTAAAGTTAGTTATTAGATTAAACCGGTTATGATCTAATTGATGAGTTAAAGTGAATTATTTTAAATAAAATATATTTGAAATTAAATAATATTTAAAATGTAATGATTAAAATTGATATGATGTAAAAGTAAAAGAGAGATGGTAGGATATGTAAAAGTAAGAAGGAGATTGGAGGAAGTAATATGTAGTTAAAATTATGTGAGTGGATTGATAGTGAATTAAAATTATCGTGATATGCGAGAATAACTGATGATATTATTTAATTATATTTATAAAAAATAGAAGCGTTGGGTTGAGTTGAGTTAAATTTTGAATGAACTGAGTTTAATTTTAAATTAGATGATTGGAGTCAATCTCTAATGTACTCCGACCCGCCTTAGAGCACCCACAATGCTTTGGGTCTCTTTTTGTACATGTGGCATATAAATGGACTTGGGTCTTAAATGATATGGACAAACCCAAGTAAAAAAACTAAAAAACTTTGCAAGCAAAAATAAAAATACTAGGTCTAGCATACATGTCAACCAATAAAAATACTCTAATATGTTTTAAAGAAAAATTAAATTAAGAACAAATGATGAAGGTTTGGGTTTGTACTTGGGTCTAAAATAGACCCAAGTGTGGACTTGGTCTCTTTTTTTTATTGTCACATAAGGTAGACCATGTCCACTTTTAATTGCATTGGAAAACATTTTTTTATAAACTAAATCTATTTCTCACGTGGCATGTAACTTTTTGGTAAGAGACCCAAAGCATTGTGGGTGCTCTTAATAACTCATCCCCGCTGCAAAAATTGTGCCAAAAAATTGGTTGATGATATCCTTCATTTTTATTTTTAATTCTTTTATTTTTAAACACATTCTGAGAAAAATAAAGTAAAATGCTGAATAAATGTAATAAATTAATAATTGGTTATGGGTATGGCAATATTGGATGGATACATGTTACCTAGACAAAATAATTTTTTTAACTTAAAATTTAACTCAATTCAACTCTCCTCAATATCATCAATATAATTAAATAATATCAAATTTAACTCAACCCTCCTCAATATTATTTATGTAATTAAACAATATCAATAATATCAATCAATCATCATATCACATCAACATTAAATCACTGTTCATCCACTTACATATTTTTAACTACCTATCCATCTCAAACATAATTTTAACTATCTATCCATCTCAATCACTACTCCTGCTTTTACATCCAACTAATTTTAATCATTATATTTTAAATATTATTTTAATATAAACTAAAAATCTCACTCAGATCTAAGTAAGTCAACTTTTTCAAAATTAACTCTGATTATCCAACAAATCCAATTAAAACCAAAATAACTTGTATCCCATCACCCCTAATGAACTCTGGAGGAGTGTTCATGGCGAAATTTGTTGTGGTTGGGGATAGAAGGAAAGATCTATATGTCTGTTTGTGGACTGCAAGCCCAAATTAGTGGAGACAGTCGGAAACCCAATCGAAATAAGCCAAGAAGGCTCTTTTGGGTAGTAAGTACACAGCCAGACATGATTAATATTACTTGAAAATTTGCACAGGAATGCAAAAAAGCTAGAAAAAAAAAAGCTCTGTGAAGAAGATAACTGTTCACACTTCCACTGATGAGACAGAAAATGAAGCCACTATGAATGGGATAAAATTGTCTTTTACACATTATATCAAATGTTAGGAAGGGAATCAAATGCATGACCAGTACAATATTATCCTATCTAAACATTAATCCAGTGCGTTGTATAAATAACAGGAAGATCATGGTCCGATTAACCGGATTAAAACTTTTCCAGAAATTTAGACCGACTAATTGGTTCGTGCAATTCTACCTTGTATGTGTGTGCTGCATACAGCATAGAGCACACAATCCAAACTGTAAAAACTGACTATCATCAAATATACTTTTATTAGTGTGACAAGAGAAAAAAAGGTTTAGAGTGATTATAGTTATACCCGTACCTTAAATTCCCCAGTGGCAGTAACCTTTTTCCTCCTTCACCACTCACTCACTCACCCACACACCAACACAGCTCGGCTAATACATTCTCGCCATACCATACTGCAAAACACCAACTTTCCTGTGCATAACCCCCACATTCGTGGTGGCAGTAGCCGCAACCACCCCATGACCCCCGCCATATTGGGCTTTCGACTGGAGCAGGCTTGTGTCCATCATCACTGCTCTCTCATCCCCCAACTTATTGGGCCTGGGCTGGGCCTCGAAAAATGGATTGGTGTTGTCTATGTTCATGACGCTGGTCCTAACAAGGGATGTGGGGTCGTACGCATCTTTAGTGGGCTGGACGGCTTTGCCTGGTCTAGCTGGCGAGCTAAGAGGGAAAACTGATTTTACGGATATTTGTGAAAAATATAAGATGGCGTCGAAAAATGTTCAAATTTCTCAGTTTTTGTACTTCCGATTCCAGGACTTGAAGGTCATTATTGTAAATATCCCTAATAAAAGTGATCAGTCAAGTACCGTATGGAATCCTCTGGTGTGGCTGCAAATTTCTCGATAAACTATCATGATGCCCAACAAAACCTCTCAAGTTTCTGCTGGTGCATGATTCCTCACAATTCTGCCTATCCCTTGCAATTGCAATAGTTGTCTGATCTTTTAGTGGTCCCGTATTGGAATGTACAATGGTGGACCTGCACAGTGAGTTGTTATGAAAAAGTAGTTCAGGATAAGTGAGGGAGTCAAACTTAGTTACTAATAATTTTCCTTCAGAAGAGTGTAACTAACACAAAATTGAGCCAATCGTGATGACACAACAAAACCTAATAATGAAGATTATTAATCATATCAGCATAAAGCATTGAGTTCCCCCAGAATTCATTTGGAACATTACATAACACTACATTACGGAAAGCAGTTTGATAAAGCTAAGACCCCCCCACCCCACGAGAAAAAAAACAAAAAAACAAGAAAAACTATGACCCACTCACAGAAAGAACACATCATAGCAACATCTGTTATCAAGTTTAACTATAAGAGTAGATGCAGCCCACTCAGACCACATAGAACAGTATTTTATATAATCTATATCTACACACACACACACACACACACATATATATATATATATATTGGAAAAACCAATATAAACAGTACAGAATAAAGTAGGAAGAAGAAGGGAAGAGGTTCTGATGTTTGTGTATACCTAGGAAGAGAAACATGCTTTCTTTCCAGTGGAAATGCAGTTCCACTTTTACCACCATTTTCTTCTAAATGAGCAAACTGATTCTTAAATTGATCAATGGCACTGCATGGCAGATATCTTCCATGATTAGTAATCGCCCTTTTGACAAAGAGAAATGTTCTATCATGTGTTTGTGTGCGTGTGTAAGATCACCTTGGATAGAGAAAATTAGTTCTCTCAACTCCATTGATGTAATCCTTCAGCAGCTGAGGATGATACTCTAGTATCTCACGGAATATTAACTCGCGAACATCCTCCTTCATAACTCTTCGCCTTTCAAATTCAAATTCCATCTTCGAAATTGGCTGCCCTGAAGGTTCCCTCTCAACTTTTGCTAGTCCCTTAAAGTACGGATGAGCCAGTGCCTGGAAATGCAGAAAATGATCAAAGACACAGAAACCACTGTGAACACTAATTCCGTACTAAAAGAAGGGCTTATGCCTTCATTCAATGACGCATCATACCAAAACGAAGGGGAATGCGGGGCTCACTTGTATGAAAAATCTTGATTATTTACAATTTTATAGTACAGAATGGAAAAGGCTCCCTACGTTGAACAGAAAGTATTTAAATGATACTCCAAGACTTTCAAAGGGAGTCCAATCTAATAGAATAGAAGTTTTGCTAAAAAAAACTAGGCCATAAACCTCCTCAGCAGTTGGACGATCCTTTGGGTCAAAAGCAAGCAGCTTCTCCAAGAGTCGAAGGGCTAATGGATCGGCATTAGGAAATTTCTGAGAAAACTGGACAGGCTGCTTCTTTCTCATGCTAGTAAGGTACCTTCTAGCCTTGTCGTTACGAACCTAAAGAGAAAAAAAAAAATGCCAAAAGCAAGTCGGTGGTTGCAGAAAAATTCCAAAAACTCAAATTACAATGAATACTAAAAGGGTAAAAGTGATGCATACCCGTGAGATGGTATCCATTGAAGGCGTCCCAAGAACGTCAGTAATCAAATCCAACTGATGAACGACATTCTTTCCAGGGAAAAGAGGTTTACCAGTCAGAACCTCGGCAAAAATGCAACCAATACTCCATATGTCAATTGCTGGAGTGTACTATATGAGATGAAAAACCGAGAAACATCAGTCGTGGTATCATCAAAATAAATTCTCACAACACAAAGCATAAGAAAACTTTCATTCGGCTACGTGCACACGGACCTATGCATTAAATCATGCAAACTTACACATAAGGCATGCACCCAATCAGATCAGAAAATGAAGGAATATAAACAATTAGTGCTATGTATCCACATAATCTTATGCAATACTATGATGCAAACTTACACATAAGGGATGCACCAAATCTGATCAGAAATGAGGGAATGAAAAACAAAATAGAGACCATACAGCTTACATTTAGTATAGTTTGCGTGTTTACGTCCATTGGACATCACTGTCCAGGAAAAGCTCATGTAATATCACCTCTAGACAAAACAATGTAATGAACATACATGTCAAGGTCTTGACATTCCCATTCACTATATCATTGAATTTCACTTATCTATCTATCTATGATCTATCTATCACCAAATTTTTCCGCTCAAATTTTTTTTTTTTTTTAATTGTGGAAACCAACCGTTCCATTTTGCATTAATTAAGTGTAATAATATTTCTTTAACTATTCCATCATATAATAATTACTACTAATATTAACTAATTATAAATTCACAGTAAAAGGTTTATAGAAGTTACACACCTATAAAAACATTTATAGCAAATCTATTTCTCGAGGCCATTTGCTTTAAAATTAATCCTATTCTTTAGTTTTTATTTCATTAAGCAGTTTTCTTAAATAGCTAATTGGTTTAAGTGGCCTAGCAAACCCCTTAAAATCGCGAAAACACTTGCTATAATAATAATAATTTTTAAATTTATTCAACTAATTAATTGGTGATGAACCCTTAAATTTATAAAAATTACATTATTCATTTCATATTATGCAATCTATACAGTGATTCATATATTAAGTAAAATAGTTTATAATTATATTATACATTTTCACTAATGATCAAATTATAAAATGTGATATGTCGTCCATTATTTAACTTATGATTTAAATATAATATCCATACTATTTTATTTGCATTTGTGTATGTGCACAAGATTGAATACTAGTTTAATATAAAAATCAGCTATGACACAGTCTAATCAAATATAGCCCTATAGCTATTTTTGTAAAAGGTAAACTACTCTTGTTATGCTATTTTTCATTAATCAAAAATGAATTGACGGAGCTGCAAAGAAAACGTGAAACTACACCTTTGAGAAAAAGGAGCCACACAATTCTGGAGCTCTATACCATCTTGTAGCAACGTAATCCTGTATGTTACAATAAGAAACACAACTCTCAAAACCTCATAGACTGTAACATCATTGTTCCATTATAAGTTTCTTGAATTCTTAGTTCATACCGTCCAAATAATTGTTTCTGGTGTGTCATTGAATGCTGCTCTAGCCAATCCGAAATCACAAATTTTAAGTTTACAGTTTGCATTTGCCAGAATATTCTTTGGCTTTAGGTCTCGATGATACACATTAGCTGCAGTAAAGACAATTAACCCGTTAACCATTAGATCATTTCATAAACTCTTCATGAATCTAAACGACCATAACTATAAAAGAAGAAATTGCCAGAAAACAAGACAGAATTGCCACTAATGGAAAACACCTCTTTTGGACAATTGCCAAATTCTAAGCGACATGTTAAGGTTGCACTATAAACCTCATCAAGAAAAAAAATAATAAATAAATAAATAAATAAAAACAAACAAACAAACAATGAAATCATATATGACAATCAGAATAATTGTTTACTTTCCTTTCAGACATAAATAGAAGAAACTTAGACACCAAAACAGTGAAGGGCAACACATGGAGAACCTGTGTGGATATACTTGAGGGCTCGGAGCAATTGGTAAAGGAAAAATTGATAATGTTCTCGTGTCAAGTCATCATTAGCTTTAATGACTTGATGTAGATCTGACTCCATTAGCTCAAAAACAACATAGATATCTTTGAATTCTCTTCTTGAAGGTGGAAGCATAATGTGTTTAATTTCGACAATATCAGGGTGTCTCAAAAGCCTCAGAAGTTTTATCTCCCGCAGAATTCGTGCAGCATCAGAAATGTGCTCAAAGATACCGTGTATTTTCTTTATTGCCACTTTTTCACCAGTATGAGAGTCGATTGCTGAGCAAACGACACCATAACTACCTTTACCTATGACCTCCAGGATTTTATACCTGCTTGCATCACCATATTCAGAAAAGAAATCCATTTCTGCTGAATTCTGTAGCATAGAAACAGATAATTACACACCAAACGATGAATATGTGACATATATATTGCATATTTGCATACAAAACAAAATGGAAAAAAACTTCTGGTCTACCAATATAAAAAAACTAAAGATGAATATGAAATGATAATTGAACCACATAACAAGCCCTTCTTTCTTATTTTTAATGACAGATACAACTCCACCCATCCACAATTCTCAGAAAATATATCATAAAGCAGTTGTATGATTTAAAATGGTGTAGAAAGAAGCAAGCAACCACAGGATATACGTTAGAGACTGCCAGAGAGTACCTAACAAAATTTGAGTTAATTATTACACTTTAGAATTTTAACTCCGTACCTAGCAATTTAGTTTACTCTTACCATCCCCTCTCTCCGGTCCACCCCTAACTATTACAAAAGTTTGAATTCGAATTATTACCCTTCTCATAAGTGAGTCATGAACAACAAACTAGATATACTGGTTTCACATGAATATGAATTATCAAATAGACAACATCAAATAGACAACAAGAGGACAGAAATCCAACCGATTGAAAAGCTTATCCTCAATTTTTCCACATAAACTACGTGTGCATATAAAAAGATAAAATTTCAATGCTACCACAGCTGTCCCCCTTTGAAATATAAATTAATATAAAGGAAAAAAAATTGCACAAAGCCAGTACAGAATAGTTCATCAAAAGTAGCCACTCAGTCAGACAGTATGAAACAGTTCATCAAACCAATCCATCTCAAACCTCCATTAGACAACCTAGATATCATGTAAAACCAGATACCGTCCTTCTTCATCAATTAGCAAACATCAAAACGTACATTTAAAGCTGAGTAATGAAATTGTACCGGAAGTTACAGACAGTATCAATGCTACAGAGAGGAGCAAACAAATTCAAATGGCAAATACATTTTATATCGAATAGGAGACAGATGGAATACCACAATTCAAGAAGAGCTACATCTCTTGACATTAAATTCTGGTTTACTTTAAAAACGGAAAACAAAATTAAGTACTAAAACCCAATAAACAAAACCCTTAAACCTAAATCTGCATCATCTAACAAGATTCATCAAGACAGAGTAAAAGTAATTGCATTACATAACCCAAGACAAAGACACGGATAAAGGGCTAACTTTCTTCCGGTGATTTGGCAGCATTTCTGACCAAATTCAAGCTCTGCCCCAAAAGCAGGATCAAAAGCAGCACCTGATCAAACGAACCGAATTTCTGAAATTAATTCAAATACTCCCGATATTCTTAAGAAACGATGAGCATTCCCCTAGCCACATTTCCCCCATCTACCGCGGCTTCGGATGGCTAAGGAGCAGTCCCACCTCGTACGCTTCGTATTATTGTTAAGGACAATTAGAAACCGATCCTTCATATAACAAAAAACTACTACTTCTTCTTCCAGTCCGCCAACAATCATAGAACAACAGAACCCAC